GCATTTTTGCTGAGACGTGTCACAAATTCGCATTTTTGAGAAGTCACAAGTTACCCCCGACAGAAGTCACAAGCGACCCTCCTCTCGAGAAGTCACAAGTGACCCCCCTTCCTTGAGCTCGGTTGCTCTCAGAGCTGCAACTCAGATCCCAACTATGTCGCGGCAATGCATGCCAACTTGCAGGCTATGCTCGCGCTTCTTCGTGTTAGTCTTTGTTTGCGTTTGTGGTTTGTCATGAGACTCTGGAGCTTGGTATTGCAGGCAGACAATGCATTCTTTTGGCGTGATGAATATGGATCGTTGGCATGCGCCCTTGCTGCCCTGGTGCACGTGCGCATTCCTTTACAGTGTGGCGGGCTGCAACCTTCTTGTCATCTGTGTTGGAGGTGGTGTTCTGGACTGGGGCGGGTTCAACCGAATGCCATTTTGCATGAACTTCCTGGGCTGCCTCTCGGGAGCAGATCCCGAGGCCCGGGTGCCAAGTCTTGCTTGAATTTGGCTGACTATGCTGTTTAGAGGTCCTCCTGGCCCATGAGGAGGGCATCATTCGCTGCTTTCGAGATGAGTAGCCTGGTGAACAATAAGCTTGTTTACGTTTGCTAAGGAGTTTTACAGACTTGACTTCAAGCAGCCCCCTTCAGACAAAAAGAGATACATGCAGCCGTGAGGTACGCGCGCTGTGGTGGCCCCGACCTGCCGCTTGAGGAGCTGCTTCTGAGCAACTTTGCAGCAGGCTTGGACGAGCCGACTGTGACATATCTACGCCGCACGCGATCCTTTAGTCGGGTGTTGCCAGCTCTTATGCAGATGATGTACTTGAAGGCTAAAATGGAGGCGTCCCAGGATGCAGCATCACTGCTCATGCCTGCGCATTAAAGTCACCACTTGTGCTGCTGGTCTAGAGCGGTTCTGTCGCGTCTTCTTGTGCTACTCAGGATACCATCTTGGCTACATTACTTTCGTGTACGAGAGCACCACGTGGCTGGAACGTGAAGTTTACAAGCAACTGGGTCCCAAAAAGCCAGTGACAGTAAAAGAGTGTTGGCATAAACAGTTGGTCCAAAGAGTTGCACTAGGAACGTGTAAACCCAGATATCAGAGTTGTGCAGTACCTGGACGCAATCAAAACCTTGGAATCGGAAGTGCAACTGTATCAACTGTTCTGGCTCGCTTTGATGCTCAGGCTCGCCACGAAGGAGGAGATGATGACATTCGAAGGGATACTGGATGACCGTTTTCAGGAGCGTTTTCGCGTCAGGCGGACTGCTTATTCTTGTTGCTGCTGTTTGTTGTGTTGGTGGTGGCGGTGGTGGCGGTGGTGGCGGTGGTGGCAGTGGTGGCAGTGGCGGTGACGGTTGTGACGGTGGTGTTGGTGGTGGTGCCGGCTGCGGCGGCGGTGGTGTTGTTGGTGGTGCCTCTGCCGGTGCAGGTGCAGATGCCGGTGCCAGTGGTGGTGGTGGTGGTGGTGGTGGTGGTGGTGGTGGCGGTGGTGGCGGTGGTGGCGGTGGTGGTGGCGGTGGTGGTATGGTGCAGGTGCTGGTGGTATGGTTCTGGTGCTGGCGCTGGTGGCGGTGCTGGTCCTTCTGCTGCTGCTGGTGGCTGGTGCTGGTGCTGCTGTGGTGGTGCTGGCGCTGGTGCCGGTACCGGTACCGGTGCCGGTGCTGCTGGTGCGATGTGAAGTTTTTGCGGCGCATCACGCAGGTGCCGGTCCAGTGCGATCATCAACTCCTTCGCTTTCTACAGCTTGAAGGGTTGCAAGCTCAGCAGCACGTAGAGCTCAGCAGTGGAGCTCTGATTCGGCTGAGTACATGTTTCCAGGTGACTACTTCATAAAGATGTTCAAGCGGTGGTCGGCAGGGAAGGGCGCAGCCTTCCTGACGCGGATGCGGTGACAGATTGGGAGAGCATCTTGAGCGCAAAAGCTACTGTTCGCAGCTCAAACCTCAACAGAGGTGGGGCTTCAATTACATTGTTCTTGAGAGCATCGTGCACGGCTGTTGAACACAAGCACCTGGATCTGCGTCCAATTCAAGACTGTGGAGGCATACGGGTATATGCCAAGAGTGGGCAAGAGAGCAGCTCTCCCTGAATTCATGCAAAATCGTTTTCTGCAGGGAGCCGCGCGCCGATGGCCTTCCTGGGATTGTAAGTTCAACGCACGCATGGAACGGCTTGATTCTGGCAGTGCATATCCCCTGACCACCTCCAAGATGCTCACCGAAGACTGAACTTATGCTCAGGTTGGCCTGCTGTACATAAGCTTCATATTCTAGATGGCGGCAAAAAGTGCTGCACCAATAAGGAAGCTTCAGAGATTCGACGTTCTGTTTCGTTCCCAACCGATGTATGATAGCTTTCTACCACAGATTCGTAGGGTGCTATGATCTTTGCGTGTCGTGCAGGTCATGCAGCCGACGTGGTTTATGTTCAGGCAAATGGCATGGTATCAAGGAAAAAGCAGCAAGAACTTTATCAATGGTACTTCGCAGGTGATGTGATTCCAGAAGCGGATGTCGAGGTGTTCCAGCATCATCCCGAGGCTGCCAGCCTGTGTTATGAGGACGCAGAAAGCAGACTGGGTGTGAAGTCTTGGTGAAGCAGAAGCATTGTGCCAGGCATCACGAGCATTTCCAAAAGCTTCTTCAAAATCACCGGTAGACATGACCGAAACTGCAACGCTATGTTGGCTGTTGACATCAATTTGGGACAGCCACCTGTTATTGATGCAGGGGCTGTTGGTCTCCAACGTCGTTTCCGGATCCTCGAAGGCCACTCTGCTTGAAATTTGGCGAAATCCGATGAAACTGCTCTGACAGGTCTTCACGAAATGGTAAGGTGGTAGATTTACGCATCATGAGTGCGCAGTTGCCGAGAGGCGGTCTGCAGCCGCGGAGCCGTGTTCGAACATCAGGCTGAGAACTGCAAACTTTGGGCTTGGGGCCTTAGGGGGTCAGTGAGCCGGATTCTCAGCAGAGTCTTAGCAGTTGTATGGCAATGCAAATTACAAGAAATTCTGGTTAAGCACCAGCTGTATGCTAGTTGAAGTCAGCTCTTGGCAGCCAAATGGCCATCCAGTGGCAGGGCCGGCACTGGGTCTCCGTTTTTGAGATTGACAGGTGGGGTCTGATTTGCTTTGCCAGCAAGCCAGTTGTGACAACAAAAAGGGGCAGTTTGGCTAAAGCTTCAACACATGATTGGAGGTACTGGTTTGCATCCCCGTTATCATTGAGTGGTGGACTAAGAAAGCTTGCCCTTGTTGAAATGCTTAGCCAAGCTGGCATGCTTGCCTGTCCATTCCTGGTAGTTGTTCAGTCATTGTTGGGAGAGGGTATTGACTGACGTCATGAGCCAAACGTCTTGCAGGATCTTCCGATGAGGAGGCTTGGCCGAATCACCATCGCATCTGAGTGAAGTAGGCAGTACCATGCCCAGTCTTGCAGGGAGCGTCCAGCATCCTTGACCTGCAAAGGCAAGATGGGTTGCAACCGAGCATGTGCGGACCCTACAGTTCTTGCAAAATGCTCGGCTTCGATACGCTTTGCAGATGCTCTTGGTCATTTTTGCTAAGATGCCTGCAAGCTGCCTCGCACCAGCATGCCTCTGTCGGCCAACACCGTCTCAGGCCGCCAGCAATAAATCTTTGCTGCCAACTGCTTTGCCAGATGCCTGCAAGTCATGCCAGCGCGGACTCCTAGAGCAAGTTTCTCAGCTCATGTGTGTCTCAGGCAGATCGAGCACAGCTCTCTCAGGGCCTGTCCACAGGTGTTCTCGCAGGCATGGAACACATGGAAGCCTAAGAAGACTGCACACACGGAGATCACCCTGTACGCCCAACATATTCATGAAGTCTTGCGTTCCGCGGGTATTCGTTCACTTTCTTTTTCTTCGACATGTTTCCCTCAGTCGACGTCCTGGCTCCTATTGGCGTTGGCCAGTCCATGCTGATTTGTGGCCCGAAGGCCTCGGAGGTTTTTGGTCAGAGCTGTCGTCTCAGATGTTAGCCTTCTGCTTCAGGACACTGGCAAGAGCACCTTAGCCAATGAGGCCCGCCCAAGATGAGTTTGCCGCGTTGTGTTGCTTCACCAGATCTCAGACCAAGAAAGCTTGCAGATGCTAGCAGCAGCTTTGCGAACATTGCTCGCTGGAACCAGCAGATTGTGCGGATAGGCTTGAGCAAGTTAGAGACTCTTTATGGTACAGGTTGTGGAGCATGCTCTTGCTGGCCGCCACGTAGACAAGGTGCCAGTCGGCGCAGTTCTTTCGGGACTGTGTGTTTTTAGTTGTTGGGCATTTTGGGGCTTAGCAGTTGCAGGTGGTGCGCTTTCTGTCGTCATCAGTGCCACCGGTGGACCCGACGCTCCATCGCGTGGGGACACTGATGCAGCTAGCCGGGTGCACGGAGCACTTTTGGCAAGATCGGTGGCACCACCTAAGCTCTTCTAACCAAAGTGTAAACCGTTGATTGTCACGAGATTTCTTGTAAGCTGCTGCTGGATAGCATTGTTTGCGACCTGTGCAGAGTGAACTAAGCTGGGCTTCTCCGAGGCTGTGCCAGCTGCCCCCTCACAGGCCTGGTTCCCAGCCGCAGATTTTTTCAATCTTTTGTCGGGTCCATCTTGGCAGCTTTTTCTTGCACAGATTCCTACTGATGCATGGAAGTAAATCATGCCGGAAGAACTAACACGAGTTACGTTTTTGGTGCCTTTGCCCACCTAGTCCTCCGCTGCCTACCTCCCGGCGCTCTTCGATGCAGTGGCCGTCGCCGAGGCTGGGGACGCAGAAGCAGAAATGCAACATCCTGGCTGAAGCTTTCTTCTGTGACATCTGCGATGTGGTGCTCGTGCATGTCCAGCAGGAAGCGAGAGACAAAGGCAAGCACGTGCTCTTGGTTCTCGACACTGCCGCTTGTCAGCAATAGCAACATGTAGCAGGGATCGATGACACAGCATTCCTGCTCTGATCTGGCCCTGGCATGACTTGAGAATGGTGCATGTCGCACAAGGATGCAGAAGGGCAGCATGCCACAGCATGAAGCAAGTGCCGCATGCATGTTCGCTTGGTACTGGGAGCGTTGGCGTTTCAAGAGGTTGCTCCACTGCTAGATGCTTGGGACTTGGCCCTGGAGCTGGTGGAGGCGTGGGGCATCAGGAGACGCTAGCCATCGCTGCGACTGGCTCCAGCAGGTGGCTCGCGGCCCATGCGATGCGGAGGCGCTAGCAGCCCAGCGCCGTGCTGCCTTTGCAGCCAGCGGCTTAGGGTTGGAATTGGCACTTGCATGGATCAGAGAAGAATAGAGAAGATACGCTGCAAGATTTGATCTTAGAGCGCGCGATGCTCCTGAGGCCTTGCTTGAGAGGGCTGCCAAGCTTCAGCACGGAGGCGCACTAACCATGTTTGGCCCTTGGCATAAAAAGTCGTCAGAGAACCGATCCCGTGGGTGAGTGAGTGCCACATACTTTGCTCTGGTTGAGGCTGACGCTTCTGGAGACGGAGGCGAAGTGGTCTGAAACATTCGATTCATTCGATCCAATTTTGACAGCTGAAATTTCTCGGAGTTGTACGATCGTAAAGCCGAAGCAGGCGATGGCTGCTCTTGGCATCCCAGGGCGCCAGGCCAGAAGTCAACGAAGTTTGCCTGATTTTGCCTGCAGCAGCTGCCTGGCCAGGCCTCAAGAGGCGTGAACGAGCAGCCGCTGCCTCGCAGCCTTGCGGTCTCGCGGCCTTGCCGCCTGACCAGTCGTCTGGGACTTGATTTCGCTGGCCCCAGGATCTTCTCTCTCGATGACTTCCGAGGTCGGAGGCCGAGAGTCTAGTAACAGACGCAGGAAGAGAGCCTGCTTTCTACGTCGCATTTGCCATAACACCACATCAGCCATAGAATGTGTTGAACCACCTGTTGCCTTTGGAGCAGAGAAACCGTCTTGTGACCATGAGATGGAGGGGGGTAACAGCCATGAATACATACTGACATACTGCCGTGGTGTTAACATCTGCGTCAATAACTTGTCCAAGCTCCCTTCCTTCGGTGCATTCTGTTGCTCGTGGCGAGATGATGCGAGATGTGCCAAGATTCACAAGTGCCTGAGAGCAGCTGCAGGCAGAGTGAACTGGAACGTTTGCAGCGCTTGCAGGCACACCGTTTATCCTTACTGAGTTCTGTAGTGTAGAATTCAAATGCTTTCTGCCGGAGTTTGCAGAAGTGATGCTGCAGCGCAACTCGTGCGCATGTGGGTTTGAAAGAAGGACCGGGGCATCCCGCTCACAGAGTCGTCTCTAACTGCTTGAACCTCAGGTGGAATTCACAGGTGAGGGCACCAGTGGGACACCTCTTGAACTGCATCGTCCCCCCGTTGAGGCTCTTGGTGTGGCTCCGCCTGGTGCTACGTCTGGAGGAGCCTGAGCTCTCAGAATCTTCTTACTTCATATTGAAGCAGCAGCAAGCCATGGGAATGCCCAGGTCAAGGCCGCACGTGAGATGCAAAGCCTTTCTGACGGCCAGGCTTTGGACCGAATCAGGTGCAATGGTTGGTGCAACATTTTGAAGCCTTCGACCGTGCAGGTGGTGCTGGACAAGTCAAGAGCTTCAGCCGGCTTATTCCCAGCAGTAGTGCCAGGCCACGCAAAGTGTGTGTTGCTGTAGATGTACTGGTTCCTGCGTGGACGCCCGAACCGAACTCCAGAAAAAACGGGGTGAGCTGGAAGCCTTTGCTTTTTAGTGCTCAGACTCGTCGGGCTTGTCATAGAGATGGCAGCAGCCATGCACCAAAAGCCAAACATGTCAGAGACCCTGCCACAGCGACCGCCAGTGGACTGAAACCCATGCACTGATCGCAACCAGCCAGGTTCCGTATAAAGACCAAGGTAACATGCGGGATAGAAAGCCTGAGGCAGCAACGAACATGTCTCCGAGCTGAAGGATCATCCTGAGAGCCATTCTCTGCCAGCTAGTCGGACAAGTTTGGGAGTGACTGCATGAGTGACAGCCAGTTTGGCTCGCCTCCGCTTTTGGGGGTAATCGCTCTGCCGGCCGGGGGTGCGGGTCGGTTGTGCCCCTCCTTGGAGTGGATGTGCCGTTGCGAGCGGGGGCTTGAGGTCCCGCGACCGGCCTTTTCAGATCAGATCCGTGATCACCGAAGCCCTTCTGAAGGGGAAGAACGAGTCTATAGGAAACAGCAATCTAGGGAACTTCTTTGTCCAGCATTGAGTGGATTTTGTTGCTATTCGCCAAGTGAGATCGTTGCCCTGCCGAGCTGAAATCTGACAAGTCCCCTACGCACAACAGTGAGAAACGGGAAGCCGTTTTTTGAAGACTTTGGCTAGGGGGAGCTTCAAGTGGTTGCTGTCTTTTTCAGGATGCAGGCGATCTTAAGGTCTCTGTTCGGTTTAGGGGGGATAGACTTCTGCCGCGGCCGACCCCGGTCGTCAGGCCGCGGAGCTCGCTCAAGCTGGACAGGGAGAGCAGAATTGAAGAAGAGTTTTTTCATGCCACCATGCGAGATGAATGTCTGTATGGAAGCTGTGCAGGTCGATCCACCTGCAAGGGAAGTACAACAAGAAGAGGAAACCACGGAAGCGGGACAGGGAGAAATGGAAGCTGTACAAGTCCATCAACCTGCAAAGGAATTATCAGAAAAAAAGACCATGGAAGCTGGACAGGGAGAGGGAGAATCTGGATCAGACACGAAGAAGAGGCTTTTCCTGCCACCATGGGAGAAGGATGATGGAAGCTGATTGCACAGCAAAGTGGGAATAGGGACTGGTATGCTGTGAGGGAATTACCGTTGCAATTCTTTGTCTTTCATGTTAGCCCTGATTTGGGCTTGAGGTAAGAGACTCAGTTGCAATAAGTGTTTGGTACTTCAGTCATGCGACTGGGGGCTCGAGACACATAAGGGTCTCGGGTAGCTGCAGAAATTTTTAGTTCCAGACAAAGACTCTCATACCACGCAGTCAATTCGAAGTATCAGGCAGTCAATTAAATTCGGGAACCGTCGGCTCAAAATGGGGTCGCAAGATCCGCATGCGCATCAAAGTGGGAGTATGGGGAAGACCTCGCGACTCCGGGGGACCCTGAAAGCACTAAATTTACCAGGGTGCAGTGCGGGGTCAATGGGTAACGTGTACATACCATTTCAGGGGCAACGTGTGGCACCCTTCCTCGGCTGAAAGTGGCAAGGTACAAGTAAGACGCGGCCACAGCATTCCCCCGATTTTTTCCACAGGCGATGTGATGCGATCTCGGGAGGACGCTGCAGAGAGACATGGGGATGGAATCGAGGAAGAGGCGGGGGATATACCGAGCCTGCTGGAGACATTGTGGACCATCATTGGGCTACGGAGTTTACCCCGACCTACCTCATGAGAGGAGGTGCAGCCTGTAGAAGAAGAACCTGAATGAGTGAATCAGTCAGTGACGGCCCAGGGAGCTCTCCGGTCTATGGAACCGCCCCTCTTTTTCTCATCCAAGCCGGGATATCATAGGGACCTGATGGGACCTGGGCCTCCTTTCACCCGCCCCAAGCTGAAGTTTGGATTTGGTTCCTGCGCAAGGCCTCGCAGGAACCAAAGCTCCGCCTGCTGCCATCCCACTCCAGGCGCTAAGCTGAGAACACACACGCACAAAGGGCGAAGGCAAAGTTTTGAAGGGTCACTTTTGGCGCGAGATGGCGATGATGACAATGCTGAAGCAGAACAGGAAAGGGGCTACGCAGCAGTATGGCAGCATTGCAGCGCGTGCGTCGTAACCAGAAAAGGACAAAAAGCTGAGATGCTTGCGCTGTGACTAAATGCAGGACACAGGAGGGTATAGAAACGCGACGGAAGCGAGCTGCTGGACGATGGGCGCCCACTTCATTATCCTCTGCCGGCCAGGACAATACAACACAGAGAAAGAAAGAAGGTCCAGGTGCAGGCTGCAAGGGAATCATTCGTTATAGAGAGTTTTCGAGCGGGGTCTTGAGAAGTACTTCCTGTCTTCTGCGCAGCCCTGTACATGTTCAACAACCGGGTCCCAGCTCATTGCTTCGACGCAGAGACCGCATCCTGTGTGGGGCATTGCCCCAGCCTCCTCCGCAAGGGGGGGGTAGCACAGTGAGAAGAAGAAGAAGGTCCAGCAATGTCGCAATGGAGAGTTCAAGTGGAGAGTAGCAGGAGTGAAGACAGAAACGTCCGAAGTGGTCACTTTACCGCCTGGGGGAGGGAGCATGGGACAGCTGGGGGCAGCAACAGCAAATGTTGTTCACTCAGTTCTCGCCTGTCCCGAAAAAACAGCGGACAATGCCCGGGCCAGAGAACCCCCCCTGTATCCTTCCCGTGAGGAGAGCGCGCACAGCCTGTATGAGAAGAAGGATTAACTTAGATAGGGAAGAATTTCACATTCACTCCTTTTCCAATCGGCTCACAGACTCAAGTAAGCATGCCGTGGTTTGAGTTGGGATTTTTTCAAGTTCATTTCCCAGATGTTCACAGCACTTGCACAAGTTCTCCAGGTTGCATGAGGCTGTTCCTGCACTGACCCCGATGGAGTTTCAAGTGTCGCGTGTTTTTTGTCACAGACTTTTTTACAACTTGATTCTTTTGTGCGCTCGTTCTGTGGCGAGTCTTCATGTTTTCGTGATGTTGTGATGCAACAGTCTTTGCTTTAGGCGCGAGCTTCTCGCGCTTCGGCCTTGGCTCGGCCAACGAGGCGGGCCGGGGGCCGAGGGCCGGCCAGTGCAAGTCGCTTCGGCTCTTCGGCTCTTCGGCTTGTATTCCAACTGTCATTCAGCCAGGCCAAGCCCCGCGACGTCCGGCCACCGGCGCTGCAAGCCACCGCCCAAGCGTGCAAGCTTCGTGATCTAGATTTGTGTCTTGCAAATGGCGCCTTGCCTTCAGGCTGTTGCTGCGCACTTGCGGACTCTTCTAGCCTTGGAGCAGGAGGCACCATGGAAAGAGAGAATCTAGGATGCTACTATCAGCGCCCTGGCCAGGCGCACTTCCGACCCAAGGCTGAGACAGTGGACAATCATCAGTCCAGGCAACTTCAGGTGCGTTGCCCAATTCTGTCCGTGCGGCCAACCCTGCGTTGCTACCATTCGCTCCTGCGTTTTCGCAGTCGGTCACAGCAGCGCTTCAGCAGCCGCCGGGTGCACCGCTACTGCCTGAGGCAGGGTGATGACCTCTGGCAAAGTTGAGACACCTCCCACATCTGTGAAGGAGATGACGGCTCTTCTGCTAGCTGCATGCAGCGGTGCGCTAGACCAGCTCTCTTCGGTCGAGGCGAGGTTCGGTAGGTCGAAGCTCACGACAAGAATGTCCTGCACCATTCTCAACACTGGACTCGGAAAATCAGGCATCAGAGGCTCTGCAGGGTGGCGCGCAGTGGCCAACTTAATCTCTTTCGGTTCGCGCGACATGGATTAATTAGATCGTCTAGACGAGGGCGTCGTCGGCAGCACAACAAACGTCAAGAAATCCACTTTTCGGAGTTTTGAGTCAAGGCAGATCCATGATTTACGGGCTATGACATGCCATTGATGCTGGGGCATGTTGCTATCAGAGGCACCAAGGCATAGGGAGAGGAGAGCTCCTGCCTCTTGAGGTCTCCACTGCTCTTGCACCTTCAGGCTGCGGGATGCCTGAATACCTGCATGAATTTCAAGCACAAGCTTCCTGCTTATGCTGTTTAAGCTTGTTGCTCATGTTATTTCATGCTGTAGCTATACCAAAAAAGTGTCCGCTGTCTTGACCTTTGAGGAGGCAGCGCCCAGCATGATGTCCAAGATTTGCCAGGAGCTGCACTTTGTCAAAGAGTTGGGCAGGACAGCATTCAGGTTTCTTCCATATAGCTTTTGCAAAACAGGAGCCAACGCTGTCACAAACTACGCTCAAGGAGCTGGAAGTGTGGAGCACGGCTACACAGTAAAAAGCCCAACTGAAGCACAAACAGAGCTGTCCAAGGTTGTGGTCCGGCTATTCGTCAAACTCCAGCAAGCTGCGCAAGCAAGGCAAGCCTGATGGGCGCAACTTGCCATCGAAAAAGACAAAGTGTTTGGCACCAGCTGGCTGTGCATGGAGTGGGCATGTTTTCGGAGCATTGCACATGAAACATGATCTCGAAGATTCCTGGCTGCGAAAGGCAGATTATGATCCAGAAAACTTTTTAAACCTAGCTGGTTTGAAGCTGCAAGCACTTTCATAGAGTTGCCGGTCTTTCTTATAGACACAAACAGAACTTATTTTGCGTGAGTGACTTGACCGGCATCATCGGTATCTGGTTTGCAGAACATACGAAAGTTACTGCAGAAAGTTCTAGTCTGGCAGAGCTAATTCTGTTTTGGTTTGGCTTGCTGGGATTAGTTTTGCTGAAGTGTTGCCTCCGGCCTGTGTTTTGTCCAGGATGTTGTGCTTGTCTCAGAGAGTTGCACGCCATGGTTGGGAAGGTCATTGTCACATGAGCACCGAGCCCAGCATGCGTTCAAAGTCGGATTGGGTTCTTGCTGCGCTTTTCGCTTTATGAGCCCTAGGCGAACCCAAGCCCGACAGCCGAACCCCCTCTGGACCAAAAGACCCTTGCTTGATCGCACCTGAGACCTTTTGCTCTAAGCGTTCCCCGCGCAAGCCGGATCCAAACCCTTCTCGGCTTGAAAACCTAGAACCCGAAGCCGAGACTGAACTTCAATCCCCCCGCTTCATTCTACCATTTCTAGCCTTCCGACCAGAGGCTCCAGGGTGCTCAAAACACTTGCCGCTTTCTGGATGCCACAAGCTTGCCTTGTGAAATCTTTACGCCGACGTTGGAGCCATTCGGTTTGGTTCAGTCATCCAGGTCACCTGGACAGGTGAACCAGCCTCGCCGTAAATGTTGTTGGTGTGCCTTGTGTGTCATTCAGGTCGTGTGAAAGCCCAGCCACACAGTCCAGAGCGAAAGGCGAGGGTGGGATTGTCCATGCGGCTTTTTGGACACAGTCGGATGGAGACAAGAGATACATCCTGCCTCAGGTTGTCTCATGCAGCCGATGGTGGGCTAAGCAGGTGCATTTATCTATCACGTGTGCCTACACGACACTTCTTCCGGAATGAATTCCAGCTGGCACAGCTGTCGACTGGATGCTGGCATATTTGGCTGTTGCAGGCCCTACTTGCCGCACTGCTCTTGGAGGCTGGACTTTGGTGTTTTGATGTAGAAGTGTAAAGGTGTTGGGAGTGTTAGCAGCATGGTGGCCAGACGAAAAAGGATGGATTAGGATTCGGATTTGGTGATGCTTGGCGGAACGCCCTAAACAAAATTGTTCGCTGGGAGGTGTATGAGCGACACAGCGTGCCTCCCTCAATGATTCTGGATGTGTTTGCAAGCATCGCTGCGCATTTGACACTTGTGGCCGAGACAATGGTGATGCTGGGGCTTCTGGCTGCTGCAGCTGCTGCGCGCAGCTGAGCAAGTTTCTGTTTGCACAGCAGAGATGGGGGAGGCATCGAGTGTGCGCTCCGATTTGTTTCGAGTGTGCGCTCCAAATGCGTCGAGTGTGCGCTCTCAGGTGTCCCTAAACCCGAAACCCCTAAACCCTAAACCCCTAAACCCCTAATCCCTAGAAAGCTTTCATGGAAGCGCATGCAATGTGATACAAGCTTCGCCCGACCTGGATCGGTCTGAGTGTCGTGCAGGCATAAAAGGGGCGCTTAAAAAACAAAACCCTAAACCCGAAACCCCTAAACCCTAAACCCCTACACCCCCAAACCCCAAACCCAAAACCCCTAAACCCTAATTTTTTAAACCCTAGATTTTAGGGGAGCAAGCTCCCAGGTGCGCCAGCGCAGCAAGGATATAAGATAGTTGGTTTCATAACAGCTTGGCAGATTCATTAGAAAAACTCAACAGCAGAGTTCGCAAAAAGGTTTCAGTAAATTGCGAAGCAAAACAAGTAAATTGATGCAAGGAGCCCACAAGGAAGTTTAAGTAAATTGAAACCTGAAATCCTGGAAAACTATCATTTTTGACCAGCAACGGCCATTCTCGGGCCGCTAGAATGGCCGAAAACGTGCAAAATAGCGGGAAATCCCTAGGGAAGCTGTTGGGCTCTGAAAGCCAAATTTTTGTGTTTTGGGGTCCCAAAATGGTCATTTTTGCCAAAAACGTCCAGAAGCCCAAAAAAGGCTCAGAAGAGGCCCAGCAGCCCAGAAAAGGCCTAGAAGAGGCCCGGCCCAGAAAAGGCTGGGAAGAGGACCTAGAAGAGGCTCGAGGCCCAGAAGAGGTTGAAAAAAACAAAAAACCAGAAAGGGCCAAGAAGAGGCCTAAGGCTCAGAAAAGGCCGGAGAAGCCTAGAAAAGGCCCGGAAGAGGCTCAAGTTTCAGAAGCTAAGCCCAGAAAAGGCCCCAGGCCCAGAAGAGCTTTCCGGCCCAGAAGCCCAGAAAAGGCCCGGAGAGCCAAACAGGTGAGGCAGAAGAGGAAAAGCCCGAAGACGCCCCAGGCCAGCGAGGCCCAGAAAAGGCTGGGAAGAGGCCCAGAACGAAGAGGCCCGAGGCCCAGAGCAGGCTGGGAAGAGGTCCAGAAGCCTAGAAAAGGCCCAGAAGAGGTCCAAGGCCCAGAAAAGGTTGGGAAGAGGCCCAGAAGCCAAATCAGGAAAAAGGTCCAGGTGGAAAGTTTTTGTGGCCGGGCCCGACCCTAGCGAAAAGCAAAAAAAAGGTCCAGGCCCAAAAGATTGATGAACGGGGTCGAACCCTAGAGAGACAATTTCAGCAGAACTTGGCTAGGGCACCAGCTGCGCTGGCGAACCCTATCCTTAGACCCGAAACCCTAAACCCCCAAACGCTGAAACCATAAAACCTGAACCTAAACCCTAAACCCTAAGCCCCAAAACCACTAAACCCCCAAACCCAAAACCCAAACCCAAAACCCCTCCTATCCCTAGACCTTAAACCCCTAAACCCTAATCCCTAAACCCTAAGCTGCGAGCAAGGCCCTGATTAGCTGCCGGCTAGGCAGCGGGACAAGCCCTCGAGGTCCCATACTGACCCTAGCC